CAGATCATTTGTAGAATAATGTGAAGCGCTCCTCTGTGATGTTTGTATAAGAGAGAAAATATATAAAATCTATCTTTTCTTATCCATTTTATTCATTTTTTCCAATAGATTACTTTTTATTAACTCTTATATATAACACATCAAAGAACACACTAACTGTGCTAATTAATTGTAGGCAATATATGATATACAGGATTTACTTTCCGGGGATTTACTATCCGATGATTAATTTTTATTTTAATTAGCTTTTTTCTTATAGAAAAGGAGATATATATGTTTTTTTTTCTATAACGGATTTACTTTCTGATGATTAGATAAAATATCTATATTAATTAAACAGTCTGATATATAGGGATTTACTTTCCAATAATTTGATGAGATATGTATACTAATTAAGCAGTATATACTTTCCACTGATTTGGAAAAAGTATATAGTTATGAAGCCAGCTGGGTAACGATTGTTCTTCCTATCTGAGTAATATTCACACTGTTTGAGTGAATTTAAGTAGCTATCAGAGTCAGAATGTTTGTTATAACTTATATAAAGGTCGGATAAACCATACTTATCTCACAGTTATTCGAAAAGTGCACAATTAATTATTTGGAAGGCCGTCATTCAAGAATGAAAAAACATGTAAATGCACCACATCCTAATATTTACGTTTTCATTGATCTACTGCAGAAAGAATAATCGTTAGCATCATTAGCAAGATTACGGGATGGTATGGGTGCCCTGGCTCCAAAACGTCGAAAAAATAAGATAATAACAGATGAAGGTTTAGTAAAATTATGGCAACGCTACGACGATGGGCGGATGGATATTCCAAATTTCTTAAAGGCTGCTGGTATGAGATACTTTCAGTGTCCTTCCAAAAGTTGATCTATTTTTCTATTTTCCGTTTTTCTTTCATATCCATTAATTAATAAATTAAGTGAATACTTTTCCAAATCAGTGGAAAGTATATACTGCTTAATTAGTATACATATGTTATCAAATTATCGGACAGTAAATCCCTATATATCAGACTGTTTAATTAATATAGATATTTTATCTAATCATCGGAAAGTAAATCCGTTATAGAAAAAAAAACATATATATCTCCTTTTCTATAAGAAAAAAGCTAATTAAAATAAAAATTTATCATCGGAAAGTAAATCCTTGGAAAGTAAATCCTGTACACGGTAATATATATATTCTCTTTGGTCTTATCACTTGCTAATATGGTCTTAAACAAACGGTAAGAGTGATTTTTCGCCACTGCTGCCATAGTGGGTCTGTTCAAGTATTACATACACTTACATATGTAATTACATAAAGTATTACAATATTTACAGTTGTTGAAGGTTTCTTTTCATCAGCAAAAAATATTAATAGAGGAGTACCTCAAGGTAGCGTGCTTGGTCCCTTACTATTCTTAATCTATATTGAGGATTTATGTGATAACCTGGTTTGTGACATGAAATTATTTGCTGATGATGCCTTACTGTATAGGAAAGGAACTGATCTTCAACAAATGGCTTCTGATTTAAATAATGACCTAGTCATGATTGAAAAATGGTCTCAACATTGGAAATTATCTCGTAATATATCGAAGTGTGAATCAATGCTATTCACATTAAAACCTGTTCCTGCTGTTCTACCGCGTTTATACCTTGCTAATAATCCGGTCAGGCAAACCACTATTCATAAACACTTCGGATTGCTATTAACTGTAAGGCTAGATTGGACTACGCATATTGATAATATACTACTTAGGATCACTAAACTGATTGGACTATTAAAATTGCACAGTCGTGTGTTAAATCGACAAGCATTAGATGTAATTTATAAATCCTTTGTTTTACCGTGTTTTTCTTATGGATCTGTTGTTTCATTTTTTTATCGTGCCTTAAACGAATGGTCTAGTCTACCTACTGATGTGTTACTTACGCTGAAATTACCGGTATTCAAAAAGAAAATAAAAAAACCTGTGATAGTTAAATATCCTGTTGCAGAACATCGTA